ACACTAACCTCATCACCCCAAGACCGCGGCCTCTGCCTTAAAGGCCTTAATCCTTTCACGGGCTGTATGACTACAAAAACGAACCACAGCCCAAATAGAATTCGAAACAAAATACTCCGAAAATTCCAACTCCTCATCGGACCCAATTTCCTAAGATCAACTGAAATTCTTCTTCTTCAAGCGACACCGCGATTTCCAGACAGTGAAATGAAGCCAATCAAACTTAAAAACAAAACTCAAAAGAAAAAGGGGGAAAAATCTTATCTTTCCTACACAAATTACTGGTGGGTTTTTCGCTTAAAGTTGAGGCAAACTCCGTTTAACTAACACCTCAACAAGAAAAAAAAAATTGATAAAATAAAACACACCGATTGTTACATACAGAAAACGAGAGCTTAACAACTAAAAGAATTACTGAAAGAAAACAAGTTGGGTGAGGAAAATTGTCCTCTTCTTGGAGCTCAATTCCTGAGCCAGAAGCACGACTACTGAATTATTTCTTTATTCAACATAGAAATTGATATTTGTGAAAAAAAATCAGAGCTTTGACATGGTGGGCTATTTTTTTACTTGCACTGTTTTTTGGGTAAAAGGGAAGTCAAGAGCGGAAAGTGAAAGACGTTCTTTTTGTGTTCTTCACAATAATGGTACACTTAGTTATTTAGGCAAACTATTAATCAAGCATTTGCATATTAAAAAAAATAAAAATAAAAAAATAAAAATAAAAAAAAAAATTATAATTTAATTCATGAAAAAAAATATGAATTAAGAAAATAATTCTCAAAATTGATTTTGATCAAGTAATCTATACTTATATTAAAATGTATACCATTTACCAGATTTAGTATAAAGAAAAGTCAACATCATTTATTGCATTACTATTTCCGTATTATACACTCTATACTTATATAAAAGGAGATTCTATTTACTACATTTACTATCCAGAAAAGTCAACTGCATTAAATGTCATTACTATTTTGGTATTATAATATTTTATTTATTTAATTGATTTATTTATTTATTTTATTTTAAAAAGATAAGTATAATAAAAAGATTTTAATAATAAAAAAATCAAATACTAAATAAAAATGTACACTTTGACTTATTTGATTATATTTGGTATTTGATTATATCAAATATATTCCTATTTAGTATATACATTAAATACTTACTAAAGTATTTATTTGTTTTATTTGTCAAAGTTAAGTATAGATTTGTTTATATTATCAAATCATAAAACAAATAAATATATCTCGTGCTTCGCACGAGTATTTGAACATTGTACAATTTTTTTGTGTATTATAAACTTTTATTGAATATTGCATCTTATAATATAATATTCTCCAAATAAATATATAAATATATCTCGTGCTTCGCACGGGTCACGTACTATATATATCCCGTACATTTTTCTTTATTCATGTATGTAATTATAAGCTTGGATAAATAGTCTTAAAATTATGCACCCCGTGCATCGCACGGGCTCTGTACTAGTTATTATGGAAGAGCCGTTACAACTATTTTCTTTATGCTAATACATCCGACCATTTTCATGAGTGGGTGTGACTTAAAATTTGAGTACAATTTTGTAATTTCCTCGATCGGTTTATGCTCATAATTTATGGCATTCAAGCAAGTTATTTTGTAACTTAAAAATAAAATTGAATGCTGAAAATTTTGGAGGGAGAATAAAATTTAATGCATGAGAATAAAATTTAATGGATGGTAATAAAATTAAATGCTATGTTGCTATGTTGCTACTCTTTAATAGATAACAATGTTTTAGGATGCTTAAATTCAACTTTAACCACCAAAATATGAATTTATGTTTTAATCCAAAAATTTGAAATATTGAATTTTACGGTTATACATAGAAGAAACATTTATTATTACCATTATTATGCCAGAAATGTAAGAAGTGTTGGTTAATTTCCTTGTAACATTTTTACATTAACAAATTTAATCTCACTGGAATAAATGCAACTATGATTTTTAATATTACGGGGAATCCAAATCAAAATAATGAAATATTACATGTAATTATTTGGGAAAATATAAAATTAATTAAAGGAAGGGAAAAAAAAAATAGTCTTATTCATATCCAGGCAGCCATTCTTTTGATTCAATTCCATGTTAGTGGAACAGAACTTCAAGTACTGCTTCATAAAACAAGTCAACCACTCGATCCCTATAATTATATTATTAAGAAGAAGAAAAAAATGAAAGTCTTCCTTTTAAAATTATTTAGGATTAGAGTTACTAGTTGTGTGGGATTAAACATACTTCTCATTTCAACCAACAAATGACAAAATATTATCCATTTATTTTATTTTTTCCCCTTTAGTTTTTTAATATAAATTTTGAATTAAAATTTAATTATAACTACACATTTGTTTATAAAATTTACTATTTATTCACTTATATATATATATATATATATATATAGGGGTTGGTTCAAATAAAAACTAGTCTTGGTGTGAGAACCATATTTGATGCTATTTTTAACTGTGTATGATGCTATTTTTAATATTATATAATGCTATCATTTTCACAAATGTTAGTATAAATTGTGTTGTTATTTTTAATAAATGCATCTTGGTTAAAAATAGCACTAAAACACAATTAATTATAGCATTTCATACAATTAAAAATAATAGTTCTCACGGTTCTCACGCTAGTATATATATATATATATATATATATATATATATATATATATATATATATATANTATAGCAATACCTCAATTACGATACACAAACTTTTATCACATAATAGCGTGTTATTAAAACTACTTCTACAAAACTACGAACATTGAAATAAATGGAAACAAAAATTGCCGCTGCAATCTGGATGATATTTTCCGTAATCGATGCGCAATTGATGGTATGAATGTTACTGAAAATGAAATGGTTGAAACAAACCACAACAAAAATGAAAACAATAATTTATTTATGGAAACGTGGTAAATTTGTGGAAGAGTTTTAACAGTGAAGGCTGGAGTCGTGAAAAACTTTCAGAGGATCTCACATCGTCGGCGATTGGTGTTGATGATTGAAGGTATGTTTTGTAGATTGATATCTAATTTATTAATTTATTATAAATTTATAAACCATTACAAGAATACATTTATCAAGTTTATTTTAAGTTTATCTTAGGTTTATGAACCAGTTTTTCTACCATAAGTTTATATCTAATTTATATTTAATTTATTATAAATTTACACACCATTACAAGAATATATATTGTAAATTTATATTTATATATATTTTATTTTTCATTTATTATACAAAAAAAAATTATATATAGTTTATTTTCAGTTATATAATTTATATATACAACCATTGATAAACATAATTTATATATATTTTATTTTCAAAATACAACAATTGATAAACATAATATAGATAAACATCAAATTAACACTTTTCAAAGATTATTTAAGTCCCTAGTTTCAGGAAATCATAGATAAACATTAGATAAATGTTGAATTAACACTCAAAAGACTACACTAGTTATTTTTTTACCAGACATTAACACACGTAAATTAGGTTTTTGCTCCAGAAAAATATCAAATAAATTCAAACAGGAAAAAGGAGAAAATTGGGTTTTGCAGATGAAGGCCTAATGAAGATGGGTAAATAACAATTTTTTATCTCAGCAAAGTGGAATTTAAGAGTTTAAATCTACTAGGTGGATTTCATAGAAATAATTTTTTTCCTAAGGAAAGAAGAAGAGAAAGGATAAAGGAGACGGATAAGGGAAGAAGAAAGAAGAGAAACGAGAAAGGAAGAAAGGGCGAGAAAAAACGGATTAGAAAGAAACATAAAAAATACTAATAATTATATATGGAAATTAAAACTTTATCTAGTTATTATGATCTGGAAAGAAAGTCTAGTCGTCTCATAGGTAATTTTCTCTTATAAATTCTGTACTGCTTTCGGCCAACATTCTCATGTGATACGGACTATTTTTATGGCTTATAGGAAAGGCCCAATTCGAAAGCCCATACCGGTCTTTATCAAATGCTCCCTTTTAACACATCCCTGCTAGCTTGAGCCAATCCTTTCACGTCAAGCGTTACATGTATGTCAATGCTCTATTGAACTACACGTGTAAAACTGAGACCACTCCAAAAGAAATAGAGCTCGAGTGTAAGAATTAAAGAATCCATTTCTCAATTGCTCATATTTTCACTATCTCCCAATGTAAACATCAAGAATAGATATCATCCTTGAAGTAACTTAGCCAGGTGACATTCTGCCATACACGTATTGTGTAGCAGGGAAAGCAAAGCTAAAAAGTGCTCGGATAATGTATGAGATAGACACGTCATAGAGGAAATATACCTCCAACCACAAAAGAGTGCAATCATCGAGTAGAGCAATTTTTTTATTTTCAAGTAAAGGCTTAATGATATCGTCCTGGTACCAACATCGACACATTTAAAGAACCAGACACAGATCAATCTGTAAAAGCCAATAACTTCACCAGATCAACATGGCACAAAACTTGAAGTTCTTCTGCAGTTCCCTTTATCCAAAAATATAAGAATGTCCATGCAGATGATAGCGGAGACAAGAGAAAATTAAATATAAAAATCAATCATAGGATGTTGTAAATTTTTTAGTCCTATCTTGTTAGTCACATATAAGAGGTTTCTTTTTGCTAAATATACAGCGCAAACCTATGCCAAAAAGTATGAAAGTGGGAGAAATCATGTTACTCATGAACACATTAACTTCTTTTCCTTTTTTTTTTTCTTTTTTTTCCAGTAGTCACTAACAATACCAAGAATGCACATCTCACATTCAGAAACAATAATATTTTCACTTTGACTATCAAGTTTATAAACCTCCATAGCACTTCAAATTAAGAGCGATAGAAACAAGTCTGATATACTCTCAGTTTATGTTCCATGAAATCGTGTTGAACTGCAGCATTGTACTTCATCCACCATGTCCAGCTAATCTTCACCTTCCACAATAACTTTCGAGGCTACAAACCCAATCCCCTAAACTCGTAGATAAAGAAATCTATCTATATCAAATATATGTGAAAAAAAAAAAATTATGTGCTTTACTTCAATGGCACAATTTTTCAGTCAATTTCTTATTGTTCAACATAATGTCCACATGAAAACTACATAAATTTTACAAATACCAATGCTTCACCTATCTAAAAGGTATAAAGTATTAAGAGTGATACAACAATAAGTAACAAAGGGAGGAAAAATTCATGTAATTCCAGCTACATGCTCTGTGCTGCTCTTTCCAAGAGATAAGAAACCTCCTTGCTACTTCGGACATCCACAATAGTTAGATCAGAAACGTGAGTGTTTCCATTGGCATCGTGTTTGATTGCATATTGCTTTCCAGCATTTTATGCTCGTGAGGCATCAGAGCATGTTCTATTTGATGCTAGTAAGTCACGAATCGTTTCATTATATATCTCAAACATTGAAATTTGAAAAAAAAAAAAATGGTAACAGTGAATAACTGAGCCAAAAATAACATAGTAAATAGGAGAAATTCTCCATGTACCTGCATATCATACTTCCATCCTTGGGCTTGAAGAATTTGCCTCGTCTCAAACACCTGCTCTAGTGATCTTGGAATGAATCTGTTTTGCCTGAACCTGTTTGGCCATATGCAAAGATGCATACCTAACATGAAATACATCAATATGATTATTATAAGTCAGCAATGAGCACATTTACCAGGTTCCAATCTAACCCCTCATTTTTCACAAACCGGTGGTTACTTTTAACACAACTAAAAAATAGCAATCAAATAAAAGGATTAATAAAGATAAAATATATAACCCGCTGCAAACCATGTAATCATTAAGAAATGGCTTGAGATTATAATAATAAATAAGGAATACACGGATATCAATTGCTTGCACCATCTCAAAGCAGGAAGGATGATGTTCATTAGTAGAAAAAGGTTTATTGGAATTACTTTGGTTCTGTAGAAACCAGTGTCATCAACCAGAACTTATATAGTTCTAAATTATCAGGGGTCAATATAAGAGTTCATTGGGATTATGACCTTATAGCCATCAAGTGCACTCTGAACAAGCTGTGAGATCTCCACAAAAACATCTTCCTGAGAAGCATCGGGCATGAACACTTTATCGAAAGTGAAAGAAAGCTTTTGCACTGATAAGTTATTGTCAAGTAGTGTGAAATTCAGTAAAGCAAAGTTTACTCATATCCAAGGCACACACATAAAAACTTTGAACAACTATGCTCACCGTTGTGTGCCAAATCAATGCATCGTTTCCGTTGACGTTGGAAATGAGACAACTTTAGCATCGTTTCCGACTCCATCATCGGACAAAAGGGGCCTCACTCTACAAAAGACACAGATGTTCCTTTTCAACTCCTGCCATCAGCAAGAAATCATGCTCAATGGAAGAATAGAAAGACAGGATATTGCCACATTGTGGTATATAATATATTCTACAAAATGATTTAATGTAGTTAAAGAATTTATATCAAAACTGATCATTGATACCAGGATAGTGTTGTGCAATTTCTTGCGAAGTTTATCTGCTCACTTTGAGACAAACATGTCGACTGCAAAATTAACAAGGAAGATGTTATTAATTTGTTAATGCATGTGTGATTGTTCATCACATACTGGTATTTCAAAATGTACCTCAAGATCAGTTGTTTTAGTTGTCAGGCTGTCTAACTTGGCAATAGATTTTCCAGTGCATTCTTTGTATTTTGCAACTTCAGCCGATAGAGCCTGGACTTGTAACAATTGTCGACCTCAGTCATCTCGTACTTGCTGCAGATCACTTCTCATGCTAGCAACTTCACTACCCAATGCTTCCTTTTGTTTCATAGCCTCACCTTGCAATGCCTTTAGAGAAAGCAAAAAGACATAGTTATTAGTACAAGGAAAGTGTGATAGAAAGAAAACAATCAGCAGCCAGGGTACATCTTCAATAAATATAAACATGAGAGGTAATGAATGTCAAACAACTATCCAGCAAATCAGCACTTAGGAGCAAGTCAAAAAATGTATTAGCTTAACCAACCAAACTTGAACAATGCTCCAGTCCTGCAACAAGCTTGCCATGATATCAATCCTTGAAAATAAAAACATACTTATCTACTGAAGTTACTTAAAACTTGACGACCATTTCAAGTCCAAATCAAGAATAAGTTCATGTTAATTCAACATAAATTTTAAGTTACAAGTCAGCGCACTCAGTTCGAGTCATGCAAGGGGTAAGTGGGGAACCACTATTGATGCTCTTTAAAACAAAAATAAAAAAGAAAAAAAAAAGGAAGTCAGCGTTTAAAAAAAAAAAAAAAAAAAAAAGAAGAAAAAAAAAGGAAGTCAGCGCACTCACTGCACACCTATAATGTGCAAATAATCAAATATGAGAAAACACGACTAAAACCAGGGTGTGAAATAAGCTAACCCCTGCAAAATGGTCAAAATGAAACCAAAACTTACTCTTGAGGACGTAAGCTGCTCTTGCAAGGAAGTATAGTGGCCCCTCAGTGTACTTAAGTTCTCTACTACTGCTGCAAAATGGTCAAAATGAAACCAAAACTTACGCTTTAGTGTCTCATTTGTTGCCTGAAGTTCTGACTGCAGTCTACTATTATACTGTTGTAAGCTTGTGTTATACTCCTGTAATCTCTTATACATATCATTAAGTGTCTATCTGCAGAAAGAAGACAAAATAAAAAAATAAGCAACTTAGTGATCAGCTGTTTAACTTATCAAAAGAGTTCACTAAAAATTTCCTAGAGTGATATATGGATGTTGTACAATACTTTCTGAACGCCAGTAGCATTGTCTTCTTGAACTCGTTGTTGTCCTTCTCCTTTGCCAAAGAATCTAATGCTTCCTATTTTTGATAGTTAGTTCCTCACTGTGCAAATTAAAGCAGCTATAGAAACCATGATTCAGAATTTATTGTTTGATGGATAACATACCAATTTATCTCAGTCTTCATTGGAAAAATTCCCTTGCAGATCCTCCACGGTCCAAGGGGCCACAAGTGTGGAGTCAATCGAATCCACTCTCACCTCCAAAGTATCGAACCGAGATTCCATCCGAGCGAAGTTGGTAGTCATCAATCGTGCTATTTCCTTGAGCTTGTTCATCATCTCCATTGGGCTCCCATAGATTGGCACTCTAACAATAGGCCGCAATGTCGGATGAGCCTCCTCCATTTCCACGTCCTCCGCTTTGGCTCCTAATGCATTTCTTTACGTGTTCCCGCTCTTCGTGGGGATACAATGTCCCGTCTATCTTTACCACGTCGCCTTGGCGAAAATCTTTAATTCCAAGTCGTTAAGCTACCACATCGCTTGAGAAATTTTGAAATGAAATGCCAAGGCTGCCACTAAGCGACCGATGATGGGTAGAACCTATTCGCGGCCTGGATACGTGCTATGTTCGACCAAATGAAAGAGAGACAATTGACGGGTTTTTTGTGAATGGCACAATAAATATTTATGAAGAGTTGGTTCTTGCTTAACTTTTTAGCCTCTTTTTTTTCGATAACATTGTATAACTTAAAAACCTGTGGAGAATATATACGTCATAATCCTTGATGAGACTATTGTGCAAGTCTCCTTTTTGCTTCGGTACCCTGAAGATTTCCAACCACGCCTCATTTTCATCAAATCCCTCCAAAGGTGCCTCGGCTCCCGTATATTCAAAACCAAACACTCTCTTCATCAAATCAGCGTTGAGCCTCCTCGTTAGGGATGGCAATGGGCCAGGTCGGGCCGGGTAGTGCCATGCCCGGACCTGGCCCGTGACCCTACACGCATGGCCCGACCTGGCCCGTGCCCCGCTACGGGTCCACTAGGACGGCCCCGAGACCTGGCCCGCGTCGGGGCGGGCCGACCCGCCCTGCCCCATATGTTTTTTTTTTCTTTTTTTTTCTTCTTCTTCTAATAAGGCAGCCATATCTCACCGAAAAAGGCAACATAATACAGATGTAAATTCCGAATTTATCAAAAAGAGAAAGAAAGAAACAAAGATGCCAATTTTAAATCTCATACAAAAAGGATTTTTTTTTACAAATGGATAATACAAAAATTAAGCAAATCAAACCTCAAAACCCTAACTAATATCAATGAAATAGCTGCTCCTATTGGCCTGAGTGACACCACCATCTGCAACCGCCGTCTCCAACCGTGCCTGCATCCCTCTTCCAGTCGTGCTCCTATTGGCCTGAGTGACACCACCATCTGCAACCGCCGTCTCCAACCGTGCCTGCATCCCTCTTCCAGTCGTGGCTCACGGCCGCCGCCTCCCAATCTCCAGATCTGAACTGAAAAGATAAAAGAATATTGAGAAAAAAAATAATTAAAGAATAAAACATGCAATTGAGGGAGAAATTTTGGAAGAACAATTAAAAGATTGAGAAATAGAAGAAAAGGAAGAGAACCTGCGAGAAATTTTTGGAAGGTGAAATAAAAGAATGAGGAGAAGGAAAGGATTAGAAAATGGAGAAAATACATGGTAAGAAAAATTGAATTGGGGAGAAAAAAATAAGTGAGAGAATGGGCCTTACTTACCAGTTTTTGGACTACATTATGATTGGGCCAGGTCGGGCCGGGGCAGGTCGGGGCGGGCCAACATCTGTAACCCGGACCTGGCCCGTTTACAGAACGGGGCGGACCCGCCCTGGCCCGTTTTGATAACGGGGCGGGTCCAACCTGTCCCAAAGGCAACAGGTCGGGCCAGGTCGGACCGGGTCCGGGTCAAATTGCCATCCCTACTCCTCGTCTTGTCTTCAAGTCGGCAAATGACAAGCGAACCATTTTCAACAAGTTGGAACGCCGTATAGAATTTCAATGTCGAGCTAGTGTAAACGAGAAGATCTATCTTAGCATATTTGAATTTTCAAGTGAAGAAATCGAAGATACTTCTTAGCATCGGCATCTATTTCGAGCTCTTCGCAAAGGCGAAAGTCCAACACTCTCCGTGAGTCAAGAGTATTGCCGCCGATGGTGTTGGACGTTCGCCTTTGCGAAGAGCTCGAAATAGATGCCGATTTCAAAAAGTATCTTCGATTTTTTCACTTGAAAAAATATACTAAGATGGATCTTCATGCTTACACTAGCTTGACATTAGAATTCTATACGATATTTCAACTTGTTGAAAATGGTTCAGTTGTTATTTGTCGACTTGGAGACAAGACGAGAAGGCTCGACACCGATCTGGTGAAACGAGTATTTGGTTTTGAATATACCGGAACCGAGGCACCGTTGGAAGGATTTGATGAAAATGAGGCGTGGTTGGAGATCTCCGGGATACCAAAGCAAAAAGGAGACTTGCACAATAGTCTCATTAAGGATTATGGCGTATCGATTCTACACAGGTATGTTTTTGAGCTACAATGTTTTCGGGAAAAAAGAAAAAGTTAAAAAGTTAAGCAAAACCAACTTTTCATCATTCATTGTGCCATTCACAAAAAACCCATCAATTATGCCTTTTTCATTTGGTCGAGCATAGCACGTATCCGGGCGAATAGGTTCTACCCATCATTCGGTCTCTTAATGACGGCCTTGACACATTATTTCAAAATTCCTGTGAGAGGCGATGTGGTGGTAGCTAACCAGCTTGGGAATTAAAGATTTTCGCCAAGGCGGCGTAGTGAAGAGAGACGGAACATTGTATCCCCACGAATAGCGGGAAAAGAGATGCATTGGGGGCCAAAGCATAGAAGCGGAGGACGCGGATTCAGAAACGGAGGCGGCTCATCCGACATTGCTGCCTATTGTTAGAGCTCGGGAGTCGCAGCTCGCGACGAAGGAACGCTCCCTGTGGAAGCAGCGAGGTGGCTTTAAAATCCTTTAAAACTCATTTTAGGGATTTACTAGCTGATTTTGAAAATTTATAGTCTTTGAGGCATACTAGAGTTCTCTGAAATATTTCTAATTCTAGACTATACTAGTATTCGACACTGTGCATTTGCACAGAGGTAAATAAAATTAAATATTATAAGTTATATTTATGTATATAATACAAAAATTATAAGTTATATAATTGTATTATATTTCAAACATATAGTATTATAAGTTATATTTATGTATATAATATTAAAATTATAAATTATATAATAGTATTATATTTTAAAATTTGATCATTGGTTAAAATAAATAGTACACACGATTTGATTGTATACGAATCACTATATTGATTGCATAAAATGTAATAAATATATATTTTTTATAATTTTGAATGATCATGACCAATTAATTAGCTGAAAAATATTACATTTATGATAACAATTGTTTATGTGATTTTAAGAAATTGTACTATGGCATAAAAAAATTAATTTATTAATAAATAAAATCTTCATCATATAATAAAATATTGATTTTAGTGTAAAATATAATTTTATTAAACTTTCATATGTTATTTAGTATAAAATATAATTACTAATTTTAATATTAACTATTATATTATTCAATAAAAAATATAATTTTTAATTAATTAACATAAAATATAATGGCTTTTGTCTTAATTAACACAAAAAAATGTAATGAAATATTTTCTTATTAATGAGATTGGGTGTATTAATGCCACATAAATAAAATTTATTAGGTTCTATTTATTAGGTTTTATTAATGATTTGCCACATAGGTAAAATTTATTAGGTTTTATTTATTAGGTAAAATTTATTGCTTAGCTAGCAATTATATATATATAGATTCTGGCAGGACTTAAATCTATCCGATTCTCAAATTTGACTAAATTTGAAATATATCTGGATCTTAAACATGATCTTAAATCTAACTGAAATTTATCTAACTGTTCGGAAAAACTAGATTCTCGGTTCACGCTCAAACCGATGTTCCAAACTGAACTCCCAAACCGTTCGGACTGATTCAACTGAACTAAAATTCTCTTCGAACTGTCCGGACTGGTTAAACTGAACTGGACCGACAACTCACTCAGAGCCGATCGATCATGACTATGTGAAGCTCGATTTAACCGTGACGATCTCAATTGACACGGCTTAGCCGTTGCACGAGTGCACGGGTTTGAAATGGTGCCACGGTCACTGACGCAGGGGCATTTTTGGACCACGACTACCGGGACATAACGCGTGACGGCAGATCAGATGGACTCGGTGCACGGGCACATACTCGGTGGTCGGCTCCAACGGTCGGACTAGAGTCGAGCACGTGTGCAGGATGACGATACGCGTTAAGTATTAATTCTATGTCATCTAAAATTACTTCAACGGTACTAGGGTTCGGTCGATTAAACTCGAATTCGAAAATTACCCAGTTATCGGAACCAGATAAAATTAGAGTTTCTGATTGTCAAAAATCCTAACTCATTTAGCCGATATTTAAAATCACTAATTTCTATGCGATTTATATGGATTTTATAATCAACAACTGCAGCTAAAATCATATCCGACTAATTTTTCTATATTTATCACGAAATGAGGCTAACGTCTCGATTCTTAATCTATAGCAAACGGTGTCCAAAAATTACCAAATTCAAAATATAACATCCTCATCATATACATGATATCCATAGTCAATATATCGCAACCAAATTCAACTTACAACCCATTCAACTAAAACGGGCATCAACCGGTTAAAAATATAAAAAAATCCATTCGTCTATCAAACTGACCTCCAAAAAATTTCCCGACCCGCATCCTAAGCCTCAAACAATTCAACAAAATTAATAAAAATTAAATCACCATTTTATGACTTTTCAATAATGAAATCAAAAAATATCACTTCAAGCTTGAAAAATCCTAATAATTCAAAAATCACTCAAAATCACCAAATTATCATTTTTATAACATATTATTAATCACACCTAAGCCATTGCAGTTGGGTTTAAGCCAAAATACCTAAAACGGATCGGAAAAATGGAACATTGATCGGCTAGGAAAAGGGGCGGCTCTTGCGAATCGGGTCGGGCTCGGGCTCGCTGAAATGGGTCGACCGGAGGCTGAACCGCTCGGACCTGGACTGAGTTGACTCGGTCGGGACTGAGTCGGAACGAATCTGGAGCGGCTGGACCGAGTTCGGGCCGAAATGGGCTCGGTTGCCTGGATCTGCTCGGGACTGAAGCTCGGGATGCTGGTCAGGGTCACCAGAGTCGGAAACGACGGGAAAAGGCGAGAAAGAGGAGCTGCGAACTGGTTGCTGCCGGCGTGGAGGAGCTGCGACGGCGGCGGGCTGAGGTGTGAATGGCGAATCGCGGTTGAGCTCGCTATGGTGAGGGTTGGTTCGCCGGCGTGGTAGTTACGTCGCCGGAGCTGGGCGCGACGGACGGCGGTGAGCTTGACTGAGCTGCCAGAGGATGGCGTCTAGCTGCTGGAAAGGCCGGCGTACAGAGGGAGCTTAGGTCGCGACGGCGTAAACTCAGCTAGACGGTAAGCTCGCCGGTGGTGGAAGTCGACTTCGCCGGAAACGAGGTCGGCTGGGAGCTGCGACGTCACCGGCGACGTGGGGAGCAGCTGGAACCGAGAGGCGGGGGAGCTGGGACGACGGGGTTCGCCGTGAAGGTGGTCGCCGGCGTCGAGGGGCTCACCGGAGAAGGTGGTTCGTGGTCGCCGGAAAGGCGGCGGCTCGCCGGAGCTCGGAGGATGGCCGGATTTTTGAGTGATGAAGGAGGTGGAGGAGATGGTGGCTAGGGTTTGTGTGGTAGGTGAAGAAGATGGAAATGAGGAATATGAAGATGGAACCTATTTATAGTGTGTGGAAGACATAGGGTTCCACTTGGGCTCAAAATCGGGCTTTAATAATTGGGCTAATAAATCGAACTTGGTCTTGGGCTAAATAATCGAACATTGACTTATTAAATGTTAGACAATAAAATCCTCGGGATTAAGACTAATTAAATTAGTCAGTCGAATAATTAATATAGGCTCGGGTTTAAAAATAGAATATAAGCTCGATTTTTAATAATGTAATTAGCATTTAAAAAAAAAAAACTAAAAAAGTGCCGCCGAGCCCGCCTAGGAGCGCCTAGGTCCACCTAGACGCCGCCTAACCGTCAAGCCCGCCTTGGAGCGCCTAGGGCCGCCTAAGCGCCACTTAGTTGATTTTTCCTGCCGATTTGTGCAAATCGGAGGCACCCGGGCACCGCCTAGGCCGATTTTTAGAACAGTGATATTGACTACTCTGATAGATTCATAAAGAGCTGCCACAAAAGAGCATCTTAGAGAATATTCTCAATGGTGGACTTTGGTGTATGAATTTATATAAGTTGAGATAATTTTATTTTGCAGGTAGTTAAAACAAATAAAAAATAATTTATTTAATATTGATTTTTGGGCCCCGACTAGGAGCCGCCTAGGCCCCGCCTAGGCGCTCTAGGCGCTAGGCGCTGGTCGAACGCCTAGCAGGCGCCTAGCGACTTTTAGAACACTGGTCAATATATTTGGTCCACAAAGGCCGAAACTGTTGGAATGCTATGTCGAGCCACGGCTTTGCTCGGCCATTGAAATGAATGACACCAGCATTTTCAGCATCTGCAATAGTTGTGTTATCTTGGTACCTGTTTGTCCCATTTTTGTTGCTATTTTTGTTGGTGTTTTGCGTGTGTTTTCCCCAGTTTTAGGTCGTTTCTTAGGCGTCTCGGGTCCGTCTAGTCGTTTCTTGTATTTTTATCTTTATTTTTGTGTGTTTGGAATTTTCGTTGTCTTTCTTCCTATTTTCTCTTGTTTTTGTGTTTTTCCTGTTGTGGTGGTTTCAGGTTTCAAACAAGGATAGGTATGTTGTTCCGGTTCCAGGGAGTTTCTATATTGGTTCGTACGACACAAACACGCGGGATTCGAATTTTCCAGCTCGGGTAGAACCCGAGCGACGCTAGCCGAGAGCACACGAGCCTAGAACATCAAGAATTTGTAGCTGCCCAGGCCTTAGCGCCGCTAAGCCTGACTTAGCTAACGGCGTTACCACGTGCTAACGACCTCAGCAGCCAGCGAAATTTGCACCTTAGCGGCGCTAAGGGTTTAGCGCCGCTAACCCCTGCTTGTAACCGACAACATTTTTCGTGGATTTTGAAAATGGAAGGCATAAGGGTCGAGCTAGGGCGGATTTTAGACCATTCTGAGATTGTATTTTGGAATTTCTTAACCTCAAAACATATTTCTCTTATCTTTTCACTTGATTTTGATTTTGGAGAGTAAAAAACTCCCTTTATCTTTTGGATTCGGATTGCTATCAGGATTTGCCATTGAATTTCGCATTAATTGTAAGCTTCTCTTTTCATTTTATTGATGAATGTTAGGACTTTGTTTGATGAGAATATAAAGGTTGAATTCATGATGAGTAGCTAAATTCATTAGCTAGGGTTAATAGATAATTGTTCTGGTTCATTCTCGTTTACGTGGATGTCGATTGCTCTATCTTTGCGAGTTGCATTCATCCTAGGATTAGATGATTGATCACCATCCTAATCTAGTCAATCGATTTTTAGAACCGAAAGGGGAGAAAACGATCGATCTAGGCTCGTTTAGAATAGGCTTGTTCGTAATGGTATTGCCTATGTGTTGATTGATTTGATAATTGTTCGTTTATTTTTATCCTCTTGTTACGAAGAGTTATTGAGGATAAATCTCTAGATGAATAATTTCTCGAGTCCTTTAACCGAGTTTTTGATTGCCTGATAAATGTATTTAGAATTGGAAGCGATTGTCCCCGATACCCTAGCCTTTTTATTACCGTTTGAATTGTGTTTTAGGTTGTGAGATTGAAATTACTTCGTTGAAGAATCAGTAGTGTGATAATCGAAAACCCAACGAATTGACTTAGAGTGTTTAGGATTTGTTTGTTTTCTCTTTTGTGGTTGAATATACGTACGAAATAATCCGGCTAACCTTCCTTGAGACATGACCCGGGGATTGAGTCTTTCGATTTAACTTCAGTAATCTCTTCTTCAATCGGAATTTCCCCCATTCGAACCCTAGCTCGTGAAGACCTACTCATTTCCGGCCGAAACATGTGCCAGAAGGGATTAATGACATGTACATGTCCATGGAAAGCTATAAGCCTGGAGGTAAGGTTCCTAGCTGCCATAAACTTAGCTCCGACTTCAAATTCTGCATTTTGGGGAAAAAAGGCATCATTAGAGAATCTATAGATGTTCAATCTCATTGTCTGGCAAGTAATATTTCTTGATTATTCACAGGAATCTGAAAAATTGTAATGCAATCTAAAGGTTACCTATTCAAGTCAGAAATGGTATGTCCGGCTTATATTAGTCCTCCTCCGAGCTTCTAAATCGAAGACATTCATGCTGTAGGCCCATGCACATTCAGCCAGATCGAAATTATTCGCTATCAGTGGATGAGAAAAATTCAGATAGCTCTTGAACCTCTTGGACATCACATATTTATCTCCTCCCCTGCCTATCTCCACAGCCCCATTGACTTTCCCATTCATGTGAATGTCCCACAGAGGCGAGAGATCCGTTTGGACAACAATATCATCATCCAGGAATACTACTTTGTTAAGACTTGGAAACAACTGCCAAAATAAAGGCACACAAAATCAAGACTCAAAGACTAGTTTTATTATTTTATTTTATTTTTAATTAATTGTGTTGAGACTAACTTCTGGCAAATTTATGCGAATGTGGTTCATGAGCGAGTTGTACTTGGGGCTCAAAGCCTGCAGCTTGGCGGCAATTACATACGGTTTCTCTGTATTATTCGCAACAATTGCCGACGGTCCTCCTCTGAACCTGGACATCTGATCCTTCTCCATGGCCCCTGTAATGCCTCGGATATTATTACTATTTATGGAGCTCGACTCTATTCCCTTAAATAGCCAATTTCCTTATTTAGTGCATGTAGTTATCATTATTTGCATTAAATCGAGTAATGAACAATAAATCTAAGCCATAGAGAATTTATTCAATTTTCAATTATTAAAATCGGATTTATTTAGCCCAAGTATCAATTATTAATTTTAAGTTAAAAACCGAGCCTTGGAATGAGTCGATTTTATTCCGGCACACTTAAATAAATCGAGCCCACGTTCGATTTTATTTCGGCCATTTTAGTAAATCGAGCTCATGTTCGATTTAATAAAGTTCATTTCAATTTTTTTTACCTGTAAAGGAGGGAGAGCAGAACAGACATATCAAGTTCTGCACAAAAGTTTAGGGATATATGTGCAGAGAACGATGACAAGCACAGGCTCTAAATGTTGGAACTCCTGCTTACTACTTCCGAATTCTTAAATATAGCACAATTAATTTGTTTGTTTCATATTTCGAAAAAAAAAAACGAAAGAAATAGTTAGTATATTTTGCATCTTTGATTTAAAAGCCCTGGTTGAAATTTTGCCATTCCACTAATGAAGAACGAATATGGAATTAACTCAAACTCCTAATTCTCATTGTCATGACTAATGACCACTGCCATGAGGAAAGGTCTTTAAGAGAACATGATCGCAACTCGCAAGTATAGAGATTCACAAACATGTACGATAGCGAAATGCTATGCCTTCAAACATTACATAATAGATTGAGTCTCCTGAAAATATCAAACCATACTAACATATCTAAATTGTAATCGACTTTTTT